TTAGTAGTGTTATAAGCACTTTGAGTGTTGCCAACTGTGTAAATAAGTCAAAAAGTGCATAAACTAGTTTGAACAATTATAAGCTTAGCCAAACACTCTCTTGGCCAAACATCATCATAGTCGCTCCCAAAAATAATAGCCGAATATATACATGCACCACTTTATCCGGTATGACGTACTGCAAGATTGTGCTTTCGTTATCAAACTAACTTCTCAACCATTACTGTTTTCTTCCCCTACCTCGATATATTAAATTATGTATTCATTCAAACAACATCACTTAAATTTAAATGAATGTAATGAAATGATTTTCAAAATCAAATTTGGAATTCAATTATCAAATGCTCAAGTTATGCTAATTGGACCGAGTAGACTAAATTTATGGATCACAAACATTAAATGACCACTTTAAGAGAATATACTTAGTTGTTCATTTAAATTAGCATTATTTTCAGCCATTATGCTTCATTTAGAAGTATGATTTAAACATCGAATATGAAACATTAGGAAGAGTCGAAGAGGCAAGAAGAAGAAAAATAAAACAGTCTGGAAGGCACCAAATCCAAATCAATTAACTATTCCTATAAAAGGGCACATAAAGTTAACTCCACAGATGGGTGAAAAAGATTCCACTCCAGCTAACATAACAGAAAAATGAGAGAAAAATCAATAGCTGAAGTTGAGAAAAAGCACAAAGAGCCACGACGATTGGCAGCCGCAGCACATTCTTTTAAAGATGAAGCAAAGCTGAAAAAAGAAAGGGAGAGAGAAAAGCTTCTTTCATTATTCTCCTCTTTACGTATATCTCACTGAAGACATGGTCGTGGTGTTTAAAGTTGTTTTGCACTTTTTTGTATAGTGGCTACTTTTCAAGGAAATTTTTGATATATGAAAATAGAAAATGGAGAATGGTTGTTTGCTGTCTCTTTCAGCTGTGTAATACATTTTTTTAATGGGTTTTACGTATTTGATCTTTTCATGTCAAAATATGGTTTCCTAAGTAAAGTTTTTAGTGAGATATTCATGTACTGTAATGGGTGTCAGTCTAATGTGGAATAGAGTCGGCAGAGGTTCTCAATTGGAGATCGGATTTGGTAGCTTGTAGCATCCGATTTCGAGCCCTGAACTCCACTTGTTACAGACCTAAGGTTTCATTGGAAAATCATGAATCTATGGGTGTGGAACTCATACTGCAGAAGCTAGCGTTGACTGAAAATATAATAGGCTGCGTACGATGGACTCATATGGCCTGGCCCTTCCCCGGATCCCACGCGTAGCAGGAGCTTAGTGCATCGAGCTGCCCTTTAGTTATTTGAAATGGAAGAGCGTATGAAGAAGTATAGGCAATTGAGTCCAGAGAGAGCTAAAGTGTGGACAGAGAAATCGCCCAAATATGTGCAGCAGCAGCCCCAGAAGAATGATGGCAAAGTGCCAGTGGTATATTATCTTTGTAGAAATCAACGGCTTGAGCATCCTCATTTCATGGAAGTACCCCTGTCTTCACCCGATGGCCTATACTTGAGAGGTAATATAATATGGCTCTGGTTATTCATTTAAATACATATGATGAATATGATTAAAGCAACTAAGTCAGTAGTTCTGGTCATTGTTTTAATTTATATGTGTTCTTGCACTTTTGAAGATGTAATCGAGAGGTTTAACGTTTTGAGAGGCAGAGGAATGGCTTCGTCGTACTCTTGGTCATGTAAGAGGTAAAAACTAGTCCAACATTTTTTGTATTTACTTGTCTTTTGTTCTATTTGTAATGCGGAATTCACAATTCTGAGATTTCTTATATATACAGAAGCTACAAGAACAGATTTGTGTGGCATGATCTTTGTGAAGATGACCTGATTCTTCCTGCTCATGGTAATGAATATGTTCTCAAAGGCTCAGAGCTTTGTGAAGAATCCAATTCAGGTAACTATGTCGAACAATTAACAAGTTTGGCTGCATCAATTCTTCATTGAAACTACAAGTATAGCTGGGCATCACGTTTTTCTTTCTCCAGGTCACTGCAGTCCAGCGAAAAATGACAGATTGTCAAATCCGAAAGTATTACCAGAACCTTCATCCTCTAGGAGCCAAGATAATTCCTTTCCTTCGTCTAGTACGGATGAAAGATGTTCGAAGAATTATTGTAAAGGTGAACCATCAGTTCCAATTCCAGGTTCTTTGAATGTAACCCCAGAGTCCAGATCTGCTAATTGTTCTTCATGTAACGGTTCGTTAAGGTTGAAAGAGAGCAAGATCAATAATACTGTTGGCCTGGCTGATGCTTCCAATCAGACTCAGGAAAATGGAAGCAGAGCTAATGCACCAAGAGATACCTGCAGAAAAGGTGTTTCAACGACAAATGAGTCTGCAGATATATGCATGGCCAGGCATTCAGCTGCACCTGCTCCATCATCAAAGGGTGGTAGAACAGATACCTTGATATCTCTCATCAGATCGGATGTGAGCAAGCTCAGCAGCTTTAAGACACTTGAAAGCGAAGAGGGTCGGGTTTCATCAGCAAAATTAAAGCCTTCGAATATGCTAATGCAACTAATCTCATGTGGATCAGTTTCAGTAGCGGATCATAGATTTGGCCTTATACATACATACAAATCAAGATTATGTTTAGGGAAGCTTGATTGCCTGAAAAGGAATCAGAGGTTAATGGGGTTGGAAGATGAGGAATATTTCTGTGGAAGCTGGATGGAGCCTACTCTTCCCAAGGAACGAGTACCTCCTGCCTTAAAGCGGTCATCTTTCGCTGCTGAGAGGTTGGTATTTTGGTTACACTTTCTACATCGGATGTTGTTTTCTACGCAGTAAATACTTAATAGCATGTCAATCTTCATCAGACGTATAATCCATTTGATTCTTATGTTTGTTATTTCTTAGACCTTCCTCATATTGTTCTCCTTTCTTATGATCGTGGTAGTAGAACCAAATTGTCTAGGCTTTAACAATCTCTATCTTGCAACAATGTCTTGTAATGACCTTCCTGTGCTTCTATGTCAATGGTTATCTAGGCGTATTATCCTGTTAAGTTATGTTTAATTCTTTCTTAACCCTTCCACATATTTTTCACCACTCAGAATAGATCATTATTCTGAAATTGCCTAAAAGAACTTCTTGTAAGTTACATTGACAATAATGATCACCATTATATTGAAGATCTACTGTGTTTTAGAACTTGTGTCAACAATTTTGTGACGTGCTGAGTAGCCCCACTTGCTTCTTGTTTGATAATATCCTGGCTTCGTCCCACTAAAGTTGTTTTAGTATTTATCAAAAAAGGGATATGCCTTAGCAATTGTGTGGATAATTAACCGAATCAGAGATTTCCTTACTGTTTTACTAGCCTTTCTCTAGTCTGATTGTTCTCCGTATATTGATTTTCTAAGTTGAGTATACTTTGTGTATTCAGATATATATTTCTTGGTTTTTCTTGCTATACTTAAAAGGAATTCTGCGATGCAGGACTAATGGAGACGCAGTTGAAGATAAAAAGGAGCCGAGCTCCACACGCTCAAAGTGCATGGGACATTCTACCAAGGCTTCCCTGAATAATAATCTGCCAAATAATGAGTCAATTAGATCCCCTCTTTCTGAAAGTCCAAGAACCTCATCTGAAGGAGAAGACACATCAAGAACGATTGCGTCTGGCATATCCCCAAGTGGAAGAAAACGAATCACAGAGCTTTCCCAAGAGAGAAACATTCCAAGGGGATAGACTCTTGCAGAATGAGAAAGAAAAAGTGATATAAATTGAAGAAACGTAAGTTTTGGCTAACTACAGAGATACTAATTTGCTTGATCGCGAATTGTTTAGGTTGATGTTTCATTTGTTTCTAACGGGCTTGTTTGCTCAAAAAATGTTACACATCTTACGAGTACAAAACAATATAAATAAATTCCGGGATAATCATAGCAAATCGTAATAATCCGTTGGACCAATTGAAAGACATGAAAATAAGAACTTAGAATTAGGGGGAGAAACATTAGAAACCTTTATTGATAATATTTGTTTGGTCTGCTTCTCCATGGAGAGGTTCAGAGCCTTACAATGGTGTTTTCTCTTCCCATAAGAGGGGTATATTTTCTCGTTTCTCTCTCCTCTCACTTGTGGTGAAGAAGCAGCCCCCTTTCTGGGGTTTCCTCTCTTGGTATTTATAGCTGTGAGCTTCGTGAGCTGGCAATAAGTGGCCGTAACCACGTTGAGATCTCTCCTTTGTATTGGCGCGTAGACCAGGGCCTTGTCCGAGCTAGAGGCGGGTTGAACGTTGTCAATCCTGAGTGTTCGTGCCGTTAATTAATCATGAATTAACTTAAAACGGGATTAGCCTCGTTAATTATCGTGGGATCAGATTTTGACCCATACAGTTAGTCCCTCCGCTTATTGAGGTCGTGTTTCGACCGAGCTCGATGAGCGGACTTCATCGATTGTGATTTGTAAACAACTCGAATAAGGGAGTCGAATTATTGGCGGCGGTGGCCTTAGCCGTTTACACGTTGGAGATGGCTGTAGCCTTTCGTATATTGAGGATGGCCGTAGCCTTTTATATATTGGAGATGGCCGTAGCCTTTCGTATGTTGAGGTTGGCCGTAGCCTTTCATGTATTGAAGATGGTCGTAGCCTTTTATATATTGGAGATGGCCGTAGCCTTTCGTATGTTAAGGTTGGCCGTAGCCTTTCATGTATAGAAGATGGCCTTAGCCTTTTATATATTGGAGATGGCCGTAGCCTTTCGTATGTTGAGGTTGGCCGTAGCCTTTCATGTATTGAAGATGGCCTTAGCCTTTTATATATTGGAGATGGCCGTAGCCTTTCGTATGTTGAGGTTGGCCGTAGCCTTTCATGTATTGAAGATGGCCTTAGCCTTTTTTATATTGGAGATGGCCGTGGGGAATGAATATGCGCCGAGTACGTATTTGGTCGTCCAAAATTTTAACGGCGTTCGGCACATTCTTTCAGTGTTCATAGGTCGTAGCGATTGTTCTGACGGCGGTATGCTGGCGGATGGTTGAGAAGCCGCTTTATGGAGCTCGTCATAATGACGCTTGCTGCTACAGAACCGAACCGTTTTACGGTTGGTCGTGCAGTTAATGATGGCTATTGGGCTTTGCAAAAGCCATTTATGTTGCCTATAAAGGTGGGTTGAGGCATTCATTTCTCATATCTTCATTGTTCATTTGAGAGAGATTTTGAGGAAACTTTGTCTTCTCGCTAATTCATCTTCTCTTTTCTTTCCTTCGATTGTGATAACATTTGTTTTCAGTAGATTACCAATGGCTGGCAGTTCTTCCCATGGTGCTCTTCCGGTAGATTTTCCGGCAGCTGACGGACCATCTCCGGCAATGGGAGGTGCGGAACAGACGGAGTCCGGCGAAATTCCGTCGGTTGACGAGGTGGTTCCTCGGCCCGGAGGTCCGGCGATTGATTTCACCGTCGACGGTGGAGAGGAACCGGTGGATGAAGCCCCTTTGATGGGGGAAATTGGGATGGCCCGATTGCGGGAACAGGGCGTCGTTCCTACCCATGCGGACATCGTTCTTGCTAGAAGCGAGGAGAGGGTCCACACCGACCGTAGGGGATACTGCGTTTTTTACGCCTATCCTTTCAGGTTGGGGTTCAAGATCCCGCTCCCAATGCTGGTGGTGGATTTTTGCCGTTATTACGGGGTGTGCCCAGGTCAGCTCGCTCCTTCCCTCTACAAACTTTTGGCAATGCTTATCAAGTACGCGGAATTGGCCCGTAGGGAGGTTACGCTGCAGCATGTGCTGAGTCTCTACGCTCCTCAGAGAGTCCGTGGTACCATGATTCAGGCGTGCCCACGTGGGTCGAAGGGCCTGGTCATGAGATTGGATGACGAGGTCGACCCCCGCCCTTTCGAGCACTTCTTTTATATCAGGACCAAGCACCTGGTGGCGGATGCTACTGGGTTCCCAGAGGCTTGGAACCATGCACGTAAGTTTTTTATCGGTTGAATCCTCTTTTCTTTTCTCCTTTATGATTTGCGCTTATGAGCGTTAACTCTCGCCCTTTTTTTTTTGTAGCCGACAGGTCGCCGCCGCCCCCATTGTCTTGGATACGTGAATGGGTCGATGCCGTACTCCCCCATACGAGGGGGATACGTACGTGGGCATCTTTCTGGGAGAGGCATGGCCGTAGGCCCGTGGCAGGTAAAAAATCGATCTTTCCTTCTGTTCTGCTTTGTTTCAGCTTTATTTACTAACCTTGTTTTTTGTGATTAGGGAGGGCACGCCGCGTCAAGGCCCCTCAGTTGGCCTTCCGTCGGCCTGGCGCAGTCGCTCGGCTTACTGCAGCGCCAGTGTCGCGCTCAATACCGAGGGCGGCCTCAGTTGAATCTTCAGCGGTTTCTTCTCCGTCATGGACCCGGCTTCGGGATGAGGAGCCTTCGGGAGTTGTGCGCCCTAGAGCGGGATCATCGTCAGAGGGGGAGGAGGAGAGGCCGTCGATGAGGCGTAGGGTCGCATTCGCGCCGGCTCCTCCTTTGGTGATTAATTTGGATTCTCCGCCGGCAGACGTGGAGATGAGTGCTGCTGCGACGCCTGCCCCTGAGGGCGAACAAACAATGGGGGTTGCCCCGGTTGGCTTAGGCCGTGATGACACCGTCGCTTCGGCGGCTCAATTGGTGGTTCCAGTCGCTGAGACGGGAGGTAGTTCCTCAGCGGCTGCTAAAGTGGGTGAGGATGAGTCCGAATCCGACTTGGATCCCGACGACGTCCGTATGTTCCAGGAAGGCTCTACCAACTCAGCGGTGCGCGCAGAGGGGCGATCTCGCTTTATCGAGGTTCCCACAGAATTGAACCTATTGCTCCAAGGGGAAAACTTGGTGCCGCAGTTCGAGCCGCTATGCTCGGAGGCCGAGAATGCATCGCTGAGGGGCGTTACGGATGTCGGGCTGATGAATGAAGTAGCCGTGATGGGCCTGAGGGTATGTACCGTTGCGTTGGATCGTTTCTTCTTTGCCTCAAGTTTGTTCTTTTATTTTGATCGTTGTCTTTGCTTTGCAGTCTTATCTGTTGGAGGTGGAGAGCATCCGTCGAGCCAAAGTCCGCTCGGGGATATTTTTGCGGATGCTGGAGAAGTGTCGCCGCTACCGAGATCAGTGCCGAGAATTGCGAGAGCGCTTGAGGGATGATCCTCGTAGCCGGGCCTTGGTCGAAGAGCTGGCGAGGCGGGATGAGCAGCTTCGCCGAAAGGATGAGGAGCTCGAGGCGGTAAAGAGGGTTGTAGCTGAGGGCGAGCTCCGGGGCCAGGCGAAGGCGGCGGAAGTCACTGCGGCGTGGAGCGGGAAGGTGACCGCGCTGGAGGATGAAGTCGCGTTGTTGAAGCTTCAAGTGAGGGACGCCTCGTCGAGGGCCGAGGTGTTGAGGGAAGCTATCCGCGTGCATGAATCCCAGCGGATGTTGGAAAGGGATGCCGCGGCCCTTAGAGAAGCAAGTCTCGAGGAGCGGATTGGTGTCTTCGAGCAGGACGCCCAGGTCATGGCGGACCGAATCACGGCCTTGGAAGAAGAGAATCAGCAGCTATGGGATCAAGCCGCTTCTT